CTGCTCTTTTTCCTGCTGTTTGGGGGCTACCAAGGCCTGGTAAGTGACTTTCTTTTATTTATTTTTAAGTTTCTGACCCTTTTTTCCCCTCCAGAAGCCTCTAAGGGAAGGGAGGGGGCACTTTTTTCCTGTTCGTAACTCGAGGGAAGTTTGTATGTCGAGTCCTTATTTCCCCTATAGGGCGGGTTCGTAAACTGAATTGTTCGCAGGTAGGGTCGTTCGTATGTCGAGACCCCACTGTATCTTTAATATATAACTCAAACTAGACTCTTCTTTTTCATTGAGTGCAGGCGAGGCAGTGGAAGTCCTAAATTAGTGCTTGCTAATAGAGCAAATCTATTCATCGAAGCGACCAACATGAATTTGACCCAACTCCGGGAGGCAGTGGAAGACAGGAGGGCCTGGAGTGCTCTGGTCCATATGGTCACAAAGAGTTGGACACGACTTAACAACTAAACAACAACAATAGAGCAAATAAATAAATTGAGACAAGTCATTTGTGTGTATTTCATCTAATCCACCACCCAGCCCATCTTTATTCTAGTTATGGCTGGTAGACAGTGGGAAAACACTGCCAGTGATAAAGGTTTATAGAAGCAGTAGTCCAAAAAATCTGGAATGCAAGAAGTTGACTACCCCTGCTCTAGGCTCCCATGGTAGACTTTTGCTAATAAACTATAGTCCAAACTACTTCTCCTGATGGACTCCAAAACAGTCTTGTTTCTCTAAATCTCAGATCAAAATTCTAAACAGGCACAAAGACCATACTCTTCTCCACTACATTCTAATTACAGCATTCAATCAGTCATCCAGTCTTTCAATTGCCAATCACACTAGCACGCCGCCCCATGTATATTTACTATACAAATGTTTGAAACTGTTCTTGACTCTTGATTCATTTGTTCACTCCTGACTGTGTGAGAAAACAAATCATCACCATTCCCTGTTTTACCCCAATCACAATGTCTCAACCATTTTGTTATGTTGTTCCTCTGAGAAGATGAAGAAAAGGTAATAGCAGAGAAATCCAGCATGAGTATGATTTATGAAGCAGCTGCTGCCACATTTCTTCCAAATGAAAACAGAAGTGCATAGTGCCTCACAGAGCTCTCTTTACACCCCTCCCAATACTTCTAGTGTTTTTGAAAATCAGTGGCATCAGTGAAAGTATCTTAAAATTGTTTTTTCCCTATATAACTATAAATGTAAATGAAAATATTTCTTCTTCTAGAGAAAAGAAAACGGCAAAGACAGGAAGATGGTGAAAATAGGAGAAGGGTATGTAGCTTGCCCTTTTTTCTCCACTCCAGCCAATAGAAGTATCCAGTGTCAAAATTAGAACCTCTGTAGCAAGTTTAAAAGTTATAGAAGTTTCTCTAAAGTGCAGTCCAGACCTGTGCAGAGTTGATTATGCCCTAGTCTTCACAAGGTTGCTGTCTCAGAGGTATGACTTAACTGTATGCCAGATTAGTACACCTTATACTGGAGCAGTAGAAATACATTCTGTATGAAACATCTGATGTTCACAATTTTGAAGGCTCTTTCAACAAGGGAGGTCTGTGTCTGGCAAGGTTGAGGCAATTTAATCAACATTTTCAGAGGTGGAATTTAAAACCAGCATGCCTGTCTTAACTTTTCAGCCCTCATTTTGAAATTGGCATAAATATCTAGCCATAATTTTTTAAACTTTTTAATTTTTTTTCTGCACTATTTACAAATAACTGGTGCCTTAAATAGTGAAGTTCCATATGAGCCAAAAGCTAGCAGTTTTTGTGATCTTGTACTGGTCTAAAAGAAGATCATCTTCACTTGCCTTTGGAGCATTACATTAAGAAGAATATTTTTTAAAAATTCTACTGTTAGAGACTGTTTAAAATGTACATTCAGGTATGTTTGTGTGTTCTGATTTTTGTGTGTGTAGGAATGGAAGGAACGATATGGAAACACCCGTGAAGATTCTGCCAGAAATAGAAATATTCAAGCAGACCAAAAAGAGTCCAGCTTCACAGAGACAAATACAACAAGATGTAAGAACATACCATCTCTAGTAGTAGTATTTGGTATCACGCTGCTGTTAAATATGTCCAGCTTTGGTATTCTTAGGTATTTCCCAATATTTGCAATAAATTTGTGTGCTAGGTACTGTTTTTGCCGCCGTATAAGGCGACTGGCCGTATAAGATGACCCCCAACATTTCCACACAAAATATAAAGTGGATGGCTCTGCTGCTGCGCTGGCGGGGAAGGGGAAGAGGCTGGACGGGCGGCGGCAGGAGGAGGAAGAGGGGAAGCGGGTGGGTGGTGAGTGAGCAAGTGAGCGCCAGCTGCCGCAAGCAGTGAGAGGGCGAGGAAGAGGGGAAGAGGCTGGGTGGGCGGTGGCAGGAGGAGGGGTGGGTGGCGGGCGAGCGCAGCTGGCTCAAGCAGTGAGATGGCAAGGAAGAAGGGAAGAGGCTGGGTGGGTGGTGGGAGGATCGGGTGGGGGGCGGCGGGCAGCCCGGTGGTGGGCTCTGGCCGCTCAGGCTTCCCTCCCTCCATCCCGACCGGCTGCCTGCCTGCCCGCCTGCCTTCCTCCCTGCCGGAAGCTCCTCCCTGGCCCAAATGAAGTGCACCCGCCGTACAAGACGATCCCCCCACTTGGAGGCATTTTTTGGGGGCCAAAAAAGTCATCTTGTACGCCGGCAAATACAGTATTTTCTTGAAGTTCAATCTGTTTAGGATTAACTTCATGTTACGGGGAAGGTTTTATTCCTCTAACACAGTGGCCCTCTACCTTTTCCAAACCACGGACTGGTGGAGGGGCAGGGTCTGTGGGTGGGTGTGGCACCCCTGGACTTGTGGGTAGGTGGGGCGTGCTCGCAGGGTGCATGCTCGCGCATGTGTGGGTGAGGCATGCTTGTGGGTAGGCAGGGTACACTTGTGCGGATGGGCAGGGTACACTTGCGGGGGCGGGGGCACATGCTCATGCATGCACAGGTGGGCAGGGTGCGCTCACAGGTGGGCAGGGTCTGTGGGTGGGTGTGGCACCCCTGGACTTGTGGGTAGGTGGGGCGTGCTCGCAGGGTGCATGCTCGCGCATGTGTGGGTGAGGCATGCTTGTGGGTAGGCAGGGTACACTTGTGCGGATGGGCAGGGTACACTTGCGGGGGCGGGGGCACATGCTCATGCATGCACAGGTGGGCAGGGTGCGCTCACAGGTGGGCAGGAAGCGCACTTGCGGGGGCGGGGGCACACGCTCATGCATGCACAGGTGGGCAGGGTGCACTCACAGGTGGGCAGGAAGCAGTTGCACGCATGTGCAGGTGGGCAGGGAGCACTTGTGCACATGCACGGAAAGGCGGGATGCGTGTGGGGTTGGGAGATCTGTCTCCGCAGCCTGGTCCTGCCAAGGCCACAGCCCGGTATCGGGCAGTGGACTAGGGTTTGGGGACCCCTTCTCTAACACATTATGTTTCTTAGGGCTCACCTTAAGAAAAGTGAAGACTCACCTCATCAATTTGAGGATCACTGCTTGTTTTTGTATTTTGACTGTACAACCTTCCAATCCATTATGGATGGTTTCATTTGAATCTTGGGCATTCTGATAAAACTCAACTGCAAATTCATATTGAAAAAACGGAATAAACTTTTTTATTAGTGCTCACTAATAGGCAGGAGACATGTTGCTTTAATTTTGATAATATGCATTCTGAACAAAGAAGAAAAAAAGCCTTTTGAGTAACTCCTCAAAGTTATGTGCTTATGAATATATTATAATTTCAGGTGTTTGTTTTCTTGCTATTTTTGTCTTATCTATTAGCCTTGCCATCATTGTGAAGTCCATAACCTTTTAGCTAGGCTAGGCTTGGAAAACAATATTTTATTATTTGAAAGTACTACATCCCACCACAGTGTGGAAGCAGAGGATTGCCTTATATTTGGGATCATAGATACTGAACAACAACAAAAATAAAGTGAGGAGGTTCTTCCTCAAGGGTAACAAGTGACATGTAATTACCCTTTTTTGTGATTATTTTACAATGGAAATTTGAATTAGAATATGAGTAATCATGCATCCTTGAAGTTTATTTTGACTCATCTTGGAACCCTCTTCAAACTGTACAGGCAGGAAATAGTTGAACATTCTTGGTGTAATTCCAGCTACCTGCAGTGGAGGGAGAAATCAGACAACGAATACAGTGGTGCCTCGCATTATGACATTAATTTATTCCAGCGAAATAGCTGTAGAACGAAAACGTCGTAATGCAAAAATAAAAAGCCCATTGAAACGCATTGAAACCCCTTCAATGCGTTCTAATGGGCTGGAAACTTACCATCCATCCTCCATAGGGCGGCCATTTTCGGTGGCTGTCTTGCGAGAAATCCATCCAAGAAAACAGTGGGGAGCCATTTTATTTACCCGCCAGCCATTTTGAAACCATCGATCAGCTGTCCGAAAATTGTTGTTTTGCAAAGAATTGGTTCCCTGCTTAGGGAATTGATCAACACAAAGCGAAACAAGCCCATTCAGATAATTGTTTTGCGTCGTCATAATGCGGTTTCATCATAATGCGGGGCAATCATAAAGTGGGGCACGACTGTATCTAGGCTGTGTCAGCTCCACTGAAAACTCAACTGCTATTTGGCTCCCCCTCCCCAATCTATCACCTTTCTACCTGAAAATATATATTTGTATACAGCCTAGATATTTGCTGTCTTATTTCTTAAATATATCTTCTTTAAAAAAATTTAGATACAGTGCCTAGAAAAATATAACCACTACATAACATCACAGTTTCAAATCAAACTCAATTCTCTTGTCAGTGGAAAATTTTTCAGCCCAATCTATAGTTTCCCATACAGTTGTAGTTCTGAATTATAAAATGACTGAAAACAGCCGCTTAGCAGTAGGCAGATATATGAATACAGATGTCTATGTGTAGAAGGAATTAATGGTTTTTAGCACCTTATTATGTGGCCAATACCTTATTTTTCCCAAAAAAATCTTTATTCTGAGACAATGTGTTTCTTTCCTACCTATTTCCAAGTCAGCTAGTCTAGGGTTTTTTTTGTGTGTGTTTTTTTTTTAATTACAAGCAAGAACTGATGTTGGAAAATTCAGTGCATCAATTCACTTGTGAATGTTTCTTGCAAAATCTGTAAGATTTTTTCCCATAAATGGCCTTCCATTTACAATTTGCACTAAGAGAAAAACACTGTACCACATTGGATTGATGATAGTGGTGATACCTGACCGCTGTCGGAAGTTGTGAAATTAGCCTTAAGGCAATATAAGTTTTTACTTAACAAAATGACATTTTAGAGATTCTATCATAATCACTGTCTTAAATTTTAAAAAATGTATAGTGAACCTTAGCTATATTTTCCGAGTTGATTCGAGTACTAATATGTATTACTGTAAATGGCTTAACTTGGACATGAAAATTATATATAAATAACTGTACTAGATTAATTTATATTTATATTTAAAATTCATATTTAAAATGACTTATATTTGCTTATAGATAATGAAGTTATTGTAAATATTTTCAAAAATTTTAAAATTATTTTTTCTTTTGACAGTGGCCTCTAAGTATACCAGATCCAATGGGAGGAATGAAAGGGACAGAGTTGAGCTTCTCCAAGATGCAGAGCCTATGGATTTTAATGCTGACTCAGTTAATGATGATCCTCTTGACTCTGATTCAGGAAGGTGAGAGATATTCAGAGTGTTCATAAATGATGGGGCAAAATCAGCAGCAAAGAAACAGGAGGCACATGGCCTTAAACTTTCAGCTATAGACGTTACTTTCAATCCCTCAAGTCATAGGTTAGCTTATTGCATAAGGGAAAAGATCTTCCTATGCTATTTGTGAGCTTCTAAGAAACTCTATTCAGTCATTTCACCAATCATCAATTAAAGCCTGGTTTGTGAAGGGAAAGAGGTGTTCAAAGAAAGAAAACCATGTTTCTACTGAGGTAGCATAAATCCATTGTACAAGCCTGAGTTGATCTTTCCATCGTGCCTTTTGTGAATGTTTTTGATGCCAGTTCAAATTCTCCGTAAACAATCTGGTACGGACTTGATGCCAGTTCAAGTGCATGATCAAATTCTCCGTAAACAATCTGGTACGGAGTGGGAAGATGGGACTGAACTACAGTGCTGGAGAGATTTGAACATTGCACAGAATTCTATCTATTGATCTGTCTATCGATCGTCTGATCGATCGATTTTACCCTGCCTTTTTCCTTTAAAAAGAATCCAAGGCAACTTACATCATTAAAAGACAATATTTAAAGCTAAAAACAATGAATATACAAAGATGGCTCACATCAGTAAAAGACAATATTTAAAGCTAGAAGCAATAAGTATGCACATATTAAAATGGAACAAACAGACACCACTCTGAGAAATGGTAAACAAAAAAATACTAAAACACATTCAAAGCAATAAGTCATAATAATCCATTTAAAAATCCCACGCAGGCAGCCAGTTACTGAAGGAAAACTTGTCTGAAGAGAAAGGTCTTTGCCTGCTTTCAGAAGTAAAGATGCGGCCAGTCTGTCCTCCTATGGGAGGGAGTTCCAAAGTCTGGGAGCAGTGACAGAGAATGCCATTTCCTGTGTCCCTGCCTAACTTGTGAAGCTGGTGGGACTGAGAGAAAGGCATCTCCTAATTTATCTTAATACCCAAACAGGCTCATAATGGGAGGCCACGTTCTTTGAGATAACTTGGACCCATGGCACTTAAGGCTTTATAGGTTAGAATTAGTGCTTTGAATTATGCCCAGAAATGATTCTGCAGCTAATGGAGCTGCTGCAACAGCAGGGTTACATGATCCATGTAATCAGCCCTAGCTGGCAATCTGGCTCCTGTGTTTTGGACCATGTGCATGCACATCTGTGCCAAGCTACTATTTTCTCTATTGAAAATTTATGTATTTATGTGTCGTCAGGATTAGGGCTGTTGATCCCTGACCCTAATGCTTTTCTCTACGATATTATAAGGTATCTGGAAGTCAAGTAGATACATTTCATTCCTCTTTAACTGGCACAACTTTTTGTTTTGAACTGGCTTTTTCAATATTTTGTGACTTTAGCTATAGATGTTATTTGCTGAAATACATTATGTTCTTATGGGGACTAAAATGTTTTATAACTATAGCGAAACTATAAAATATAATGAAAATAATAAAAGTTCTTAAAAATCTGATCCCAGCTCTCTCACTGTATGTTTCATTGTCTCCATGAGATAACAAAAGTAATGAATACATATCCTTGTTATTAACATCAGCAAAACAGATTATTTTCTTTGTATTTTTGTATTGTCTGCCTCAATCTGTGACATAGTGGATAGATGTGATACACATTTTGCCCTTAAAAATAATAGTGAGTTATTGTTTTCCTCTCTAATTTTGGGGAACCAATTGCTATATTGCAGATATTTATTTAGAGGATATAACTCTCCAGATTTGATATATATATGTCTCTTATTGGTTGTGTAAATTGTATTACCAGAGTCCAATATTCTAAATATAAGTTACACTTTTAGGTCTTCTATGTTTTACATAACAAAATTAAAATACAAATTTGGAGGTAGCAGGTTCATGATTCCATTACATATCTTCTGTAGTTTCTTCTTCCTTTTAAAGGGGTCTATAGCTTCATAAATTTTAAAAGGTAGCTTCTAAACACAACTTCTTTATGTATCCTGTAGGTATCAACCTGGTGGAAGATACTTGTCAATGTCACGAAGCCGGATATTTGATGACGTTTAAACCCACAGAACTCCGAGTCTCCAGTCTACTGCTTTGGGGAAAGCTCTCTCAGTAACATATTCTGCAACCAAAACAACCTCATTTTACAAAAAAAGAAAATGGAATGTGGTGAATAAGGAACTTTCCTCCTTAAAATGCACTTTGTATAATTAATTGCTCATTTTCTGATGGGCAAGAGCATTAGTTTCTGATATGGGGACCATCTCAGCTGTGCCTTTCCCACCTTGCTCCCACTTTTTCAAAAGCCACCTCACCACTGCTACCCTAGTACCAGAACTGGTACTGTGGCAAGAGAGGAAGTCTTTGATGCAGGGAAAAGGGATGTGGGGGTTGGTGGGAGTGGAATGCCAGAAACTAGGTATGCGAGCCATAGTTCTTGCCTTGTAGTGTCTGGCATATTTTCTGTATGATCTCTTCTGAACTGTAGACCTTTATGTTCACATCCTTAGAAGCCCCTTTGCTAGAATTTGCTAGTGTGTTGGCAACCATTGATACATAAAGGTTTATAATTTTGTCTTTTAGTTTGGATCAGGGAAATAATTCTTAGTCTGTTAATGGGTTGATGTAGTTTCACTTTTAAATAAATGAATGTTGGGCTCAGTGAGAGTTCTCATTTTTATACACTGAAGGTTATTTGGATGTTCTTTTCATTTTGAACAGCTTCTGATTTTTATGATAGCTTAACATAATACCTGATTTTTAAGATATCAATGTAGCTTCATGAATGCAGTTCATAAGTTTACTCAAGAGTTTGATGCAACTTTATGGGCTTCCTTGTAGTCAAACCTTGGGCGTGGTGGAAAAAGCCACAGCGGTCAGATCAGAGGCTCTTTGATCCTTCAGCTAGAGGGATCTTGACATATATGTACAAAATAATTTATCTTCTGGAATGCTTGCACATCTGTCATGAGAACAGAATTTAATTTCTGTCAGCATTACATACATATAAATGGCATTGGCATGCATGGGAGGAAACAACCAACAGAATCTTAAATATTCACTAGCACAGATTTAGATATATATATGCTAGCATGTGCATAAAAAAGAGATATCTGTCACAAAACATGTGAATACTTTATTTAGGTGCCATTGAAAATCTATTTCAGTATAATCAGGATCAGTTTAGTGGCTGTGAATATTTTATGGTTTAATCTTCATTTCATACAACTCATTAAAAATAATGTACCCTTTACATAGTTTTAGGTAGACATTTTGTTTTGAAGAAAAAATAACGTTTATCGCAGTATTATTCCTTATTGGTAAACAGCATAGGTGGTGTCCCAGGTACAATGCCTGGATTAGTACAGATATTTTGCTGCTGAAGATTTCATGCTTGCCCTTTCAAATTAGATCCATTCAAGAAATTTTATATAGCAAATAGTGCTGACAAAAAAATACCTATGTAACTGGCTTCATTAATTTGATTTGGGAAAGTATTCATGGTAAATGGGGCTGGTGATGTTGTGACTTTCGTGAAACATGTGTATTTGCAATTTTATCAGTATTGTTTGATTTCTTGAGTTAGAATAACCTTTCATTAAGTAGCTGTTCTGACTTATGTTTCCTGTAGGAGGAGGATCTGTTTACCAAATTACAATTTGTCCTAGATATTAAAGAAAGCAAAGGATTTGAGTACAGTATACTCCGAACAGTAACAGCTGAAGTTCATGCAGGCAGTTCAGATTATACAGATTTCGGTTGAATTTAAGAATCCTAACAGTGCAGGATTCCAGCTATAGAGTTTAACTAATTGTTGTCATGTAGAACTATGGAGCTGCCATTGCTTTCTTCCCTAAATGTCTAGATGAACAATATGTGATGTCATACTTTTTAAATTTCCTCTGCCAATAGTTTGTGTTGTTGGCTATTGGCAATTAGGGCAGGGCAGTAAACTGCATAATTAGGTCATGTCACATATGTACAAAGAAAAAGTAAATGAGAACAGTGGTGACTGATCTGTGTCTCTTGGAATGTTTAATTAGGTGTATGGCCTTCATTTTGAGGGGGGAAACATGTGTTCCATGAACTGACATCTTAAGTTTATGTTGAAAGTGAATGTCTGTTGAAAGCATATTCTCTCTCTTTACAATGATTTGTGATACCACTTCCATCAGTATTGGAATCCCTTCCAATACCATATAGTTTACACAAGATTAGGAGTAAATGATCTGATGCTGAATCCCAGTGTTTATAGAGGTTTGGAAATTAGTTGTTTTGCTTTCAGAAATGTCTTAAAAAGGAAACAATTTAGTAATATGGTGATAAAGATTTTTGTGTTGCACATGTTGATGATATTATAATGATGCAGTGAACCTAGAACTAACCAACACATTTTAGGGGAAACTTTGGAAGTTTTATATTGGCACCAGTTTAATTTTAATATTAAAACTTAGAAAAATCTTCTAGCTACCACAGGGAGAGCTAAACATACAATATTCCTTAAAGGTAAGGAAATTACTTCAACCTTCAAATTCAGTTGGAACTGTTAAATCTTTGGATCTCTTCCAGCAAGATATTAATGTTTGTAAAAGTTCATTGTTTTTGATTAATGAGAACTAATGAAAAGTAGTTTTCAGTGAGACTCTGAAAGATCAACAAGGACTTGACAGAAGATTTTGAATGCTCAAGTGCTGTATTGTAAGCTAGCAGACAACGTTTCTCATTTCTCATAAGAAACTTACTCGAGACTTCCACAGAAGCCTGGAAATCCCTGCTGAAACTAGTTGCTATGGGGTTTTGTAGCATGATTTCCAATACCAGTAGAGGTGCATTGACACTGTAAATAACACTCTGTGCCTCCTTGTAATTGCCTTTGGAAGGTAAAAGTGTTTGTGCTCATAGTAGTTTGAACTAGTAAATGTCTGGGGACTCTGGGGTCATTTTCAAAGGAATGTGGTCACAGAACCATGCATTTGCATGATGAAAATACCGCTAAAATTCAGTGTTTTGCTCTGTATACACTGCTATGGAACTTCAAGAAGAAATAAAAGTATTGAAAACTTATTTTCCTGTTTTTGCTTAGAGTAGTGTAATGAGCCACTAAAATAAATAGCACACAGGAATGTAGTTTTTTTTCTGATCAATGTCAGTTTCTTAAATACTAGCTGTACTTAGATTCAAATGTGTTGAGATTCTGTGGTGGTCTATGTATTTGTAATGGTGATAAGGGTTTTTTTTGAGCATTTAAGAATGTTATGTAATTGAGACTTCTGTGCTGTTCATAAGAATGTTTTATTTCTTGTTTCAGCACAAAATCTGGGAATATGGCTTTCTAGCTGTTGTAATCATGAAAAAACCCTAGTTGGTTCCGTATCCTGTTAATGCTTCATGGTAAGGTGGCTGTTGTTCTCCAAATGGGAATAAGAGAAATGACGGTTTTGTAAACACAATAGCATTGGGTTTTTGAGTCATGAACAATGAGATGTATATTTGTTTCCAGTACATGATTGTTATTTATATCTGACAAGAGAAAAATGAATTACTGACTTATAAATTAAATTAAAATGTAATGCTGTATATTAGTTGGAATTAAAATTAACTTTGTTACATTCTGCTTCTGTGAGTGTTAGTGTTCTGTAATCACAAAATTGTTGTTTCAACCTATACATCTCCCCATAGTGCTGGAACACTTTCTAGGTGGCTTACAACATATAATTATGCAAGGAACATAATTTCTACTCATCACATACCAGCTGTAGTTTTAAAAATAAATATTTGTGTTAAAATTTGATATTCCAGCTTCTTTATAAATAATACACAATATGGAAACACATATACACAAAATGCCAGAAAAGCTATGGGGTTTGAATATGGATTACTCAATTAGCATAGTGTCTAATTTCAGCGGCTATTTGGGAGTTTTTTGGACACGTTTTATAGAGAGCTCTAAATGGCTCTTCTGCTATACCAGTTGTTTTAAAAGTGAGTAGACTTGCTCCACTTAATTTTAACTTTTGCTGATTGGTTGAAAAAACTAATCAGTATAGATACCGTTCAAACCCACCTTCATTCCAGGTTTCATAGATTGCCTCTTTTAAATAATAAATAATAATCTTAGAACTGAAGAGCTCAAAGGGACCCTATAGATCAGCAGTCCCCAACCTTTTTTGGTCCACAACTCTTTGGGGGGGCGCAGGCTCCATTCATGGACTGTTTGGGGGGTGGGGGCGCCCCTGTGCTCAAGGGTGGGTGTGTCACACTTGCGGAGGGGTGTATCATGCTTGCGTGCATGCCCACCCGCGAGCATGATGCCCCTGCAAGCACAATACAACCTCTGTGCATGTGGGCAGGGGACAGTGAAAAAGTAACCTCCAAAACAGCCTGTCTTCAACGGTCCTGCACCTCTCCTAGAGCCTTCTTCCTTCATGGAGTCAATTCACTTTGTCTTTGGTCTTCCTCTGGTTCTGCTTTCTTCAATGTTCCCCGAGGTTGGGAAGACACACACGCCCCGCAGCCAAGGCTTGTCCGCAGCTCTCAGTGGACCCACGTCTTCTTCCAGATGACAGGCACCAATTGACCAACAAGGCACTCTGCGTGTGCTCGGAGCCACGCGCAGTCTCCCCGAGCAGGAAGCAGGGTTCGCCTGGGGTGCCAGCCAACGTCACCGCATCGGCTCTTTCCAACCCTACCTGCCCGACGGCAAACAGCAGCAGATGCTGCTCCTGCCCCGTGGCCCCCGGCAGAGGCAGAGCCAGTGACACCCCTTGAAGGCGCCCCGCTTCCTTCATGCCAGCCACCCGATTGGACCCTCCAGTCAAGGCGGGGCTGCTCCTGCTCCAGCAACCACAAAGCCTGCATCTTGGAGCCAAGGTAGGCACATTCCCCCCGCACATGCGGCTGCATGCCATCCGTTAGCGAGGGAAGTGGGGCTCCGGCATTGGGGGATGCTTCCCCTGCCAGAGAAGGAGGAGGAGAGGGGTGCCGGACAGGGCCGCCCTCAGCAACAGAGCCGCCGCTGCAAGGGCGGGAGCGAGGCTCCGACGGGAGGCACTGGGCTGCAAGCCGCACGCGGGGGTTGGCAGCCACAGGGAAGTCGTCCTCCTGGAACCTCGGAAGGTCTATGGACAAGCAGCAGCACCCCTATGTGGCCTGGCCCACCTTTCCCGCCCAGGAAGAGTTGTCTGGGCAGGAAGCAGTAGGATCACGTGTACGCTCCTGCCCAGCCACTCACTCTGGGTGGGGTGGCACCAAGCCCGGTGGCCACCCATCAGGGCTTCCTGGGCGGGCTGCCCTGCAACAGCTTCCCCACAGGGAAGGAGCGCTGCTCTCCTGCGAGGGGCGCTGGGGAAATGGTTGGCATGAGCGTGACACGCCCAACCGCAAGCATGACACGCCCCTCTGCAAGCACGTCACACCCCCTGTGCATGCGGGCGGGGAGCCGTGTCCATGGCCCAGTTCAAAGAAGCCCACGGACCAGCACTGGGCTGTGGACCGGGGGTTGGGGACCCCTGCTATAGATCAAGTCCAGACCTGTCAAGGAAGCACAGAGGGAATTGAACTTCCAACTTTTGGGTTTGCAGTCAGATGCCTACATCACTGACCTACCAAGCAGTCAAGGATGATAGCTGTTGAAAACTACATTGTCTGTGCTTCAGGTGCAGTTTTCAGTGTTCTAGTCGAACAATCTCCTTTCATGCAGTAGGAGCATGGTGTGTGCTATTACTGTTACTACTGAGCAATACAGTGGTGCCTCGCTTAACGATTACCTCGTTAAATGACAAATCCACTTTACGATGGTTTTTTTGGTGATTGCTATTGCGATCGCAAAACAATGTTCCTATGGGGAAAATTAGCTTCACGACAATCGGTTCCCTGCTTCAGGAACCGATTCTTCGCATTATGATGATTTCCAAACAGCTGATCGGCGGGTCGCAAAATGGCTGCCTGTTGTGCAAAATGGCTCCCCGCTGTTTTTAGGACGGATTCCTCGCTATACAGGCACCGGAAAATGGCCACCCTATGGAGGATCTTTGCTGCACTATGAGGTATTTTGCCCATTGGAACATATTGAATGGTTTTCAATGTGTTTCAATGGGTTTTTTACTTTCGCTTGACGACAATTTTGCTTAACAGCGATTTGAACGGAACAGATTATCATCATCAAGTGAGGCACCACTGTACTTTATTTTCCATATTACCTGAATTAATGTAATACTGTCTGAAATTAAATGTAATTTGCAAATTGGATTTCAACTGGGTTTAAAACTAAAGAGAGTTTCAAATGTTCAGCATTTTTGTTTAAGTTTTAATTATTGAGACCCAAAATGTATTTAACATTAGAATTAGAATCGTTTGATGAAATCACTTCCATAAACACAAACAGACAATTCAATAAGAGAATATGTTATTGAATTTATTTTCACCATCTGCATATCAATTTTTCCTTGGAGTTAATTTTTTTTCAAAAATGCAGTGATCTTGATTAAATGCTTAAAATATCTATATCCATCTATAACAGTAAGATTTGCTTTGAAATACATTTTCTTCTTCCATTCTTTGCTCCCTGTTGCTTCTCAAGAATATGCTGGCAATCCTCTCTGTACCTCATCATAACTCTAAATCAGGAAAAACTGCAACTTCATTCTCACTGTAGCCTTGTCCCCATTCTATTGGCTGCACATATTTCAAACAGTCCTACTTCTTATACTGTTAGAATATAGTTTATGTTTCTATAAGATAATTAACTGAATTTTTCACACTTTATATGTATGGCACAGAATAGCAAGAAAGCTACTGCTTATCACACCATTACTGTTTCTCATGAAGGCATGGAATCTTTTAATATTTTCATTTTCTCTGGAAAGACCAAAGAAAGTTTTGATAATATATAGTAAACTTGAGCTCATAAAACACCTCTGGGAATCTGCTTTATGAACAGGCGATAATAGTGTTGCTGTATGTATATATTTTGACCAAACCCTGGGAGGCAGTAGAAGACATGAGGGCCTGGTGTGCTCTGGTCCATGGGGTCACGAAGAGTCGGACACAACAACTAAACAACAAATATATATATATATATACTTTTTCTGCTTTCATCATTTTAGTGCTAGTATGCATAGTATCTTTTCATCTTACTTTATTTCTAAGACTTGCAAACATGTTTTATAAATTACTGATATATTTTCTTTACAATATACCGGTACATTTGAAACTAATCAGAATTAAGTTTGTGCCAAATTGTCTTTTCTACTCTGTGTGCGCACAACTTTCTATTTGACCTTTCTTTGAAAGGGACACTGGTACAAACCTGATGAAGTGGCTTTGATCCACAAAAGCTTGTGTATTGTATGATAATTTTTAGTGACTTATAAAGGTATCCCCTACTGCAGTGGTCCCCAACCTTGGGTCTCCAGATGTTCTTGGACTTCAACTCCCAGAAATCCTGGCCAGCAGAGGTGGTGGTGAAGGCTTCTGGGACTTGTAGTCCAAGAACATCTGGAGGCCCAAGGTTGGGGACCACTGCCCTACTGTATTCTCGAAGGCTTTCATGGCCGGATCTGATGGTTGTTGTGGGTTTTCCAGGCTGTTTGGCCGTGTTCTTAAGGTTTTTCTTCCTAACGTTTCACCAGTCTCTGTGGCCGGCGTCTTCATCTCTGTGGCGGGCATCTTCTTCTCTCCCCCTTATCACAACAATACAGCCACAACAAAAACACGCTGATCACCATAATCACTCAATCTTCTGAAAAGGACAAAAGCTATTCCCACAGCTATAAATATTCAACTATCCAACAAGCTGCAAGAGAGCACAGAATTCTGACTCCTGTCCTCTGAAGATGCCGGCCACAGAGACTAGTGAAACATTAGGAAGAAAAACCTTAAGAACACGGCCAAACAGCCCGGAAAACCCACAACAACCATCGTATCCCCTACTCTTGCATTTGTATTACATTTTGTATTGACTTCACAACTCCTTTTTATTTTAATAAAATATAACAATTAGTCTTTAAAGTGCCACCATTTTTTATCTTTTATTTTATTTGTACATTACTATTATTATTTATCCTTTGGGTTTTGCCAGATATGCTTGCACAGACTGACACGGCTATCTCTTCTAAACCTCCAAACCAGTTGAACAATCAAAGCCTCTGGCAGCTTAGACTAGCTCGGCCTTCCGCAGCAAGTCCACATCTCCTAGGAAACAAGGTAGTAAACTTTGGGCTGGGTGGCGGGTTGGTAAACAAGGCATCAAATGAATGGACACGGAAGTCCTCCAGTCAGGCTTCACTGCTTTTCTTGGGCCAGTATCAATTACCACAAGCAATCCAATCAGAGGGGAAAGGTGTGGGCAGGAGAAGAAATTCAGGAGAGAGACCAACCTACGTATTCCAAACTGAACCAGCCAGCGTCCGTGGTTTCAGGTAGAGGCAACAGGATACAGACAATACAGGTAAAAGATTTTTCCTCCCTCATTAATGCGGATTGGCTCAGGCTGGCTAATTTATGTCAGTATCATTCCGATTTTTACCTATTCGCATTAAAAGCATTAGCAACGTTTAAAGTTGACGCATTTAGAAAATTGTTGGTGGAACAGATGGGGGGATGCCAAAAAAGCTGTTTCTAATGTCACCAATTCATGATAAAACGTTTGTGAACAATTACAGATATTTACCTATTCTGTTCTTCTTGAGAAGGAACCTGTTCCACCCCTACTGGGCACAAACAGGTGGGTTGTTTGGGAATCACAAAAGTTGCCATCAGAATTCTTTTAGCATCTATCAGGATCAAATTATGATGATGATTTATATATATAAGAATCTTAGAACTGGAGAGTTGGAAGAGACCCTATAGATCTTGGAGTCCAGGCCCTGTCAGGGAGGCATAGTAGAAAATCAAAATTATTGAACAGACATTTATAAAAGCAGTAAACACTAGATTAAAATACGATCAGATTGAAACACAATAGAATGTAGAATCTCAGTGTCAATAATCCCTTAGTAATTTCAGGAACATAAGAACACATGATCCTGTGTTTAGAATACTCCCAGCAGCAGCAGCAGCACTACAACCCATTTCCTATCCTTTCTTTCTCTCTGAAGGTCAATCATACGTCTGTGGGAAAATCAAATGCAAATTTCTATCCAGAGATGGTTTTGCATGAAACTTTCATTATGCTGCTGCAATCCTTCATTCCTGCATTTTATAGATTCACCCAGATCCTCTCATCTCCCAGCCTTTAAACTTTCCTTGGCTTCCCACTGCTTACACCATCTTTATTTTCCTTTTCACACACAAACTTGTTAAGGAATAAAACACAGAATAACCACACACTACCACACACTCTCTACAGAAGGTTGAAATTCTAGTTTTATACCACGGCTTTTCAAAGAGATATGATGAGGTAGTTGCAAAACCCTTTCTAAAAGTTCATTAAAAAGCATTCCAACCTTTCTTTTTTGAAAGAATTCTCTGTGCACTATCCACAGGGTGCATTTGTTTATACATTTGTTTTTAAAACATTATCTGTTAGATGTCCTTTCTGGCTTATATAAGTAACACACTGTGTGTGTGTGTATGTGTGTGTGTGTACGCATGCACACGCGCACACACACATTCTATGGTGTACTTCTAAATTTAGAATAATAGGTGCTTATCATTATTGACCTACAGCCATCCCCCCTGACTACAACAGTTCCAAAATGCAGGCAGCTGGATAGATACATAGCAACACATGAAGAGCCAGTCTTTTGTAAAGCTAGTAGCTCTTAACTGTCTATTTGAGGCCAAAGTAGCCTCAGGCACGCTGAATTACAACAGGGACGGTTAGCAAGAATATACTGTTCCCAGGAAAATCTGTTTCTTTCCCATCTATTATGAGCATTGTAGCTAAGCCCAGAGGAAACAGGGAAAACCCTGCCTCCACTTTAGCAAATAGCGCTCTAGTGAAGCTTGTTGTTTTCTGTGGGTAGGGTTGCTAGTGCTTCCTGGAATGTCCTTGGTAGCAATTTGTTCGGTAGAAATTAATGCTTATCTTTGTGCCATTTAAAAATTAATCTGGTAAATTTACAGTCTTCCTTCCCTCACTTCAAAGGCTTACATTTTCTTAGAAAGAAATGAAAGAGAGAGGGAGAGAGTAACCATTTAAAAGTCAGTAGTAAATGTAATAGATATATTTTTCTATGTCAGAAACACATTCCATAATCTCTGCCCACAAATCTCATATCAGCTTTGCAGTACCTCCAACCTATTTTTTTTTCCAGATGCCTGGCACAGCAAGACACGACCGGGAGATGGCAATCCAGGCCAAGAAGAAACTGGCGCAAACCACAGATCCAGTCGAGCGGCTGCGCCTTCAGTGTCTGGCAAGGGGTTCTGCGGGCATCAAAGGCCTTGCTAGGTAAAATGAGCCCATGAGGTAAAAGATTAAGCCAATTCGTGGTCGCGCATAGGGCAGGCAGTTAATGAAGCATAGCAGCCAGCATATGGCAACTTCCTTCTCCTGTTTCAAAAGCTGCTCAGATGTTGATAAGATGTGCCAGCTTTGCACAGTGGGGAGAGGGGGGGCAGAATAACTTACCTGAACCTGGTACAGGCTGTATGGACCGCATTCTACCCGGCTGAACTCACTTTACAACTCCTGCATTTCTTAAGCTGCAAACTGAAGTGGCTTGATATAACAAGAAGAAAAGAGAAGAAAGATCAGGATAGCCAATGCTTATCTTTGTGCCATTTAAAAATTAATCTGGTAAATTTACAGTCTTCCTTCCCTCACTTCAAAGGCTTACATTTTCTTAGAAAGAAATGAAAGAGAGAGGGAGAGAGTAACCATTTAAAAATCAGTAGTAAATGTAATAGATATATTTTTCTATGTCAGAAACACATTCCATAATCTCTGCCCACAAATCTCATATCAGCTTTGCAGTACCTCCAACCTATTTTTTTTTCCAGATGCCTGGCACAGCAAGACACGACCGGGAGATGGCAATCCAGGCCAAGAAGAAACTGGCGCAAACCACAGATCCAGTCGAGCGGCTGCGCCTTCAGTGTCTGGCAAGGGGTTCTGCGGGCATCAAAGGCCTTGCTAGGTAAAATGAGCCCATGAGGTAAAAGATTAAGCCAATTCGTGGTCGCGCATAGGGCAGGCAGTTAATGAAGCATAGCAGCCAGCATATGGCAACTTCCTTCTCCTGTTTCAAAAGCTGCTCAGATGTTGATAAGATGTGCCAGCTTTGCACAGTGGGGAGAGGGGGGGCAGAATAACTTACCTGAACCTGGTACAGGCTGTATGGACCGCATTCTACCCGGCTGAACTCACTTTACAACTCCTGCTTTTCTTAGAAGAAAAGAGAAGAAAGATCAGGATAGCCATAGGCCCCAAGTGGATGCTGTGGCGTGAGAGGGACACAGGGTTCAGATACGTATATATTCGATATGTTCGAATTGTGCTTGTGTGCATATGTTTTAAGAATAGTCTGTTTGGAGAGCATGGTTTGTGGCCCTTCCCCCTTGATTCAAATGGTTTTGGTTTTTGTTGTTGTCATTTAGTTGTTAAGTCGTGTCCGACGCTTCATGTCCCCATGGACCAGAGCATGCCAGGCCCCCCTGTCTTCCACTGCCTCCCGGAGCTGGGTCAAATTCATGCTGGTAGATTCAATGACACTATCCAGCCATCTCGTCCTCTGTCGTCCCCTTCTCCTCTTGCCCTCACACTTTCCCAACATGAGGGTCTTTTCATTTTACTACAAGCATTCATCCACCATTCTTCAGCTATTAGTCTGTCAAAAAAGACATAATAGGCACCCCCCCATATATCCAAGATTATTATCAATAACACATATAAAGGTTATACACAGCTTGATCCCCCCCAATCCACCTATCAACCAATCTTTCAATACATACATTTTCAATAAAGACTGTGCTGCTATTCGTTTGCAGGAAGTGGCCTGAGAAAGGTGGCTCTGAGGTGTGTTACTGGCAGTGCAGCGGCTCCCAGTTTGATGGTGGTGGCCTGGCCAGCTCCTTTTCCTATAATGGCGGTCCCACATTGTGGCCAGAGAGGGTGCTGGGTCAGGGGAGGAGTGTGTTTGTGAATCAACTGTTTATGCTTATACTTCTGCTTTGAGGGACATAATAATTATACATGGATCTTGAATCACACGGGGAGGTATTCATTTCATTTTACTACAAGCATTCATCCCCCATGCTTCAGCTATTAGTCTGTCAAACAAGACATAATAGGCACCCCCCCATATAACTCCAAGATTATTATCAATAACACATATAAACAATGGCAGAGTAAATCCAGTATTAGAAGATAGCAAATAAATGCCTCATACCTGGTGAAGAAAAGTGGTGCCATGAGGTGATCATACTGGGAAGAAGTGTCATTAAGGAGTTGCCACAATGGAAAAACCCCTGTTTTCAATGCCTGCCTTTCTTTTGCTGGTGGGACTGTGAAGCCCGCCTAGTCATCTCTATATAGAGTATATGACTCCTTTTGCAGGAGAAGAGTTGGTAGTCCTTTCGGTTCCCTGGCCTGAACTCATTTAGAATACCAGAAGATTAAACTGGGGTGTGGAATCATGGCTGGAAACAGACTGACAGACTCTGTCGGTGCTCCAAATGGCCACAGCATGCTTCATTACATCAACAGCCCATTTTGTGTGGTGTCTGCTGTTTCTTTACAGTCTTCCGAGGCTGAACTGCATTTTATCCAGGAGAACCCGTCGCAGTTGGTTCATACTGGTAAAAGGTGCTTCAGGCATTTCATCCCCATAGTTCTCCAAAGACTGGGCTAGAATTTACAGAACCTTGTTTCTCCCACTATTGTGAGCAATGGTCCACAAAAACAATTATCACTTTTCAGTTTTCATTAACTACCCAGCATCATTCCTTTACTCTATTTGGGTTTATTACCTGTACAGTATTCAGTTCCCTTAGATCAGCCCCTTTGTATGTGCTTTTGATAAATAATCACATTTGTTTTGAAAGATTAAACATTGGACCTCCTTAAATGATGCTCTTGCCTGCAATTCAATGGTATTCAACACTAACCGTGCCTGGCTTAGCTAGGCACATGTATTGATTAAGATATCAGAACATTATGAGCTCTGTTACTACTGATCATATGTTCAGACAGAAAAAATGGCAGGGGAATTATTTGTATTAATCATGAGATGACAGCATTTGTTTTTATAACAAAAAGTTTGATATAAAACTATTCAGGACCTTGACATTTCAAATTTCAGTTGCAAATTGCAATTTGCAGTTCAATCCAAATGAAACATCTGTGTAAAATTTTGAAACAGGAGCAGTTCTACAGCTAAGCTCCTTGACTTCTTTCTTTCTTTGTTTTTCCACCCTAAATTTTCCTGTTATTCTCATCCATCTCTCCACCTCTGTGATCGTATTCCTCTTCTCTTCACATATTCATGCTTTGTAATCATAGACATTCGTATTTTATATTCATACATAGTCATACTTCATATATACACTGTTCTCTTCACGGTCGGCCTTCCTTTCTCCAGGGTCTTTCACATCATGGACGATGACCGCAACCGGACTCTTGATTTCAAAGAATTTTTGAAAGGCCTTCATGATTATGGTGTACTGGTAGAAAAAGAAGAAGCTGAAAGGATTTTCAAAACCTTTGATAAAGATGGGAGTGGAACAATTGACTTTGACGAATTTCTCCTAACATTAAGAGTAAGCTTCTTTTAAAAACAACAAAACCATTTCCCCATGCCATTGCATTTTAGGAATTATAATGTCCACCTGCCTGGCATCATACTGAATGCACTGGTGCCATGAGGGTACACCTTAGTGGAAAGACTACAGGGTGAGCGACTTGCCGCATGGTTTGTGGGACCCATTTGCTGGATAGCACTACAGGCTTCAAGAGGATAGGTGCCAGCTTCATTGGGTCCTGCCAAGGAAAATGTCTTAATTTCCTGGTTTGGAGTTGTGGCTGTGACAGATAGACAGATACGCCCTTTATTATTATATACTACACTAGTTTATTATTACGTCCTTTATTATTATATACTACACTATTATATACAGTGGACCCTTGACTTACAGACGGCTTGACTTACAGACTTTTTGAGTTACAGACTTCTCTGGCCACAAAATTTAGGTTTGACTTGCAGCCTGAGAATTGGCTTACAGACCAGAAAAAAACCAAAATGGAACAAAAACGGCCTGTTACGGGATTAATCGGTGTTCAATGCACTGTAGGTCAATGGAGACTTGACTTACAGACTTTTTGACTTGAGAACCGCCTTCCAATACAGATTAAGTTCTCAAGTCAAGACCCCACTGGTACTACACCACATTCTATAAGGAAGTCATGAACTCAGCTGGCGACTAAATTAGAATCATTGGTGTTTTATCATCTTGAATTGCTTTATATTGGTCTGTAACAGATTTAAATAGGTTTATCATCTGTACCTGTCCTTAGATTGCCAGATATAGAGCAGTGCAAACATATTTTAATAAGTACTTTATATAGTTCAGCATCACTTAATGAGCTCCATAGATAAGAAATTATCTGTTCCTCATGCTCTGGTTAAATAGTCTGGCTATATAATTGTACCCAGAGCATTGAAACGTTACCTTTTTCACTACAAGTCCCAAAATCCCTTATCTTCCAGGAGATTTCTAAGAGCTGTGATTCAGAAACCTATTTTTTAAAAGCTCTGATTATATCTCTCTAGCTCTCACATCCACAAAACCACAATGAAACCGTATTTACAGTCTTCTTTTTGTGGAACAAAGTATACATTTTTACTCTTCTGTGCTGTGAAACTGTTAAAACAATCATGGAAATTACTGGATTGTGTGGCTGATAGTGTTCTACAAAAAGTGGAAGAATAAGGGGAATTCTCAGGAACGGGGACCATGTTATACCAAGAGTTCTTGATTTCAAAGGAAGCAAACCTGTACATGTATGTTGGATTGCAAGAAAGCCAATTTTAATAAACTCAAGGCAGTGATAAGTAAGGTCGCATGGCAGGAGATCCTAATATAAAAAGGAGTCCAAGATGGTGAGAATTTCTTTAAAAAGCATATTTTAAAAGCATAACTACAGACAGTTGCAACAAGAAAAAGAAAAACAATTGGAAGACAGCAAAAAAAGACCAACATGGTTTCCCAAAAAGCCCAGGGAGGACAAAACAAAAATGGACACCTATAGGCAATGGAATGAAGGGCAGGCCACCGAAGAAGAATAGTCAGGTGGCAAAGAATTGCAGGGATGGTGTTAGGAAGCCAAAAGCTGAAAAAGACCTGAGGTTAGCAGGAGACGCTAAAAGCAACAAACCCCTTCCAAGTCCACTATTCTATGATTCTGTCTGCCATTTAGTGTATTTGTGTAATTAAGAAAGGAGATGTACTGCAAGGGCAGTACTGTAGTGGCATTGGAGAGATGTCGCCAGCAGGTGGCACCTCTAATGACTTTGCTAATATTTTCCTTTTTCATTTTCTTTAGCCTCCAATGTCTAATGCAAGGAAAGAAGTTGTTATGCAAGCCTTTCGAAAGCTGGACAGAACTGGTGACGGTGTGATCACAATTGAAGACCTACAAGGACTCTACAATGCAAAACATCACCCCAAGTACCAGAATGGAGAATGGTCAGAAGATCAAGTTTTTAGGACTTTTCTAGATAACTTTGATTCACCTTATGATAAAGATGGACAGGTAAGTGAAACATGTAAACACTGACAGAAGAGTGGTTCCACTGTAATAATCAGGTTGTCTACAACTAGCCAATCAGATCTAGTCAAGAAGAATGAAGAGAAAACACTAAAAGCAGTAGAATGTGACGTACACACTAGGCCATGAAAGCTTGAAATGGAAGACACCAAACTTAACGGTATGGAGTGGGGATCCTACGAAGGCACTTCATTGCATCTGATGAAGTGCATCGTACAGTAGTTCATGAAAATTTACAGCATAACAAACGTGGAAGTCTTTAAGGGGCCACAAGACTCCGTTGTTTTTCGGACAACAAACTAACATGGCTGCTTTGCTGGAAATTGATACATGCCATAGTCCCTGCTGCATCCAAGGCTGTGTGTGTGTGTTTTGTTGTGGTATTCTGTGGGGAAGGGGCATATCTCAATTTCATCTTCCAATACAATATTTTTCACCTGTCCCTTTTGATGTTCTGATTCTTCCTGTATCCTTGCCTGTGGCAAAGTGGAGGAGTGATGGATTGCTCATTGGGTGGACATACCTTCCACCCTCAGGAAGAAGGATGTGTGCCGCCTTTTTTCTTGCGAGTTGAAAGGGGCCTATAAGGCCATGGAGTCATAACCCCTGCATAGTGCAAGAGGTGTTTCACAAATCTGGCTTTTGAGATTATTCTGCTTCAGATGGAATTTGGAGGTCATCTGATGTTGCCTTTTTATTATAACCTTGCCAAGGTTTTCTACTCTTCTTCCATGATCTAAAACAGCTAGGAGAAGGAGGAAGAATTGGGCACATACTGCCTTTAGGCTGGAACACAAGGAGCCCTTAGGGTTCATTCCTGTCCAGATGTTCCTCTCTGGTGGGGGAAGGAATGGCTTTGGGATGCTGCATGGGGAAATCTCTTTTCATGTCCTCTGCTTGTTTAAGAAGAGGTTCTACCACCAGTGCTACAACCTGACCTCATTAGGCTCCTTCTAAAAAGTCAAAATTCTCTACATGCCCCACAGGAGCCGTTTCCTTTACCAGTTCTTGTATGTATTAATAATACAATAGAATAAATGTGTTCTTTTTCCTTTCATACATCCCCATTTAGGTTACAACGGATGAATTCATGAACTATTACGCAGGCGTCAGTGCTTCAATTGACACCGACGTCTACTTCATTGTGATGATGAAAAATGCTTGGAAGATCTAATTACATGAAATGAGACTGTTTTTCTTTTTGTTGTTGTTGTTTCAAATAGATCTTTAGACTGACATGCTGGGCTTGCATTCTGTGTAATAATAATGTGATTGCATTCCACATAACATCCAAGTAGCACCGCATTTATACGACACCCAATTTCAATACATTAGAAGATTTCTGTAAAGGAAGAAATGATACCATTGTCATTGTGCCTGTAGCTGAGCAGGACCAATCTGGAGGTTGTAGGGCACCTTACTTCAGCTAATATCGGTTCCTCAACTGAATAACATGAACAGGAGGCACAGTGGGGAATCAAACTCCCACCTAAACCACTGAGCTATCCAGCTAACTCACCAGCAGGTACAATCCACTGCAAATGCAGAAATCACATGTTGCTCTATCCTGGAAACCAGCAGTGATAAAGGATGTAAAGATGAAAATGATACAATGTTAGCTCAAGGGACTTTCTTTTTACCTCAGTTAGTTTTCTGTGACTGCTACATTCACAAATGTCCCTCCAGATTTAAGAACTTGTTCTTAGGTTGACTAAAACAATGTGGATGGATTATATCATTTTTTTCACCAGAGTCCAACTTGCTCTGTCAGTAAATGATTACACGGAGTGCTGATACAATGGCTGAATCGCCTGCATGGAAATGGGGAGCAGAATACAAAATTGTAGCTAGAACTCAGTAGTAAATGTTAGAGGTACAATGTGAATAAAAAGTGCATCTACTGACTAACATTGAAGCCAAAACATTTGTTTTTAAAAAGATTATTTATTTCGCCATTAACATATTGAGTCATTCCAGGCTCAGAAAGCTTTACTATATTTATATTAAAGCCATGAATATCAATGTATAAAAATCATAATCCGTAAACATGATGTATTCAGTGCAGAAATAATTTACACCTGAGTGGTATAACATGTCTATATGACACGGCTACATATGTTGTGTAAGGGTTCAGAGTGCATAATCATTGCTAATATCACAGTTTCCCTGAATGAATATTTTACAAAACCATATGAAAAATAAAAGAGCAGCAGTTCATGTTGGAATTAAAGTTTTAAGTGCAAAAGCCACAAATTATCCAGTGGTTCCCAACCTGGGGAAACCCAGTTGGTTTTTTCCCCTCTCTGCCACTGGGGGCTTCTACTTTTTTCTTATCCAGTGGTTCCCAAGCTGGGGAAACCCAGTTGGGTTTTTTTCTCTGCCACTGGGGGCTTCTACTTTTTTCAAGCTGGAAAGATTGGAAAAGACTTTTCCCTGTGTGATCAGTTGTTTCCTTCTGCAAAAGGATGGAGGATGCGTCTGTGGATGATGTTGTGGTGGTGTGGGCAGTTGAGGCATGATGTTTAGGGAACTGCAGGAACAACCTCCACTGCTATCTGTCCTCCAAGTATCTTGAATTTTTTTTAAATGTTTGAATAAAGCCATTGCATTGATACATTGATATACTAGTTTAGCACTAGATCACCTCTACATGGGGATTTTTTAATGCTATAAAATAGAAACAACAATATATACAAGACTACATGTGTTTCTATGATATGTGTGTATATTTTTATGTATGTTATGAAGAATGTTGGAAGCTGTTGCCTTTTCCCTAACACTGTGCAACCCTTTAAAAAAAATAAGCAGCATGTCAGTGAACCATACGAGGATTGGCAGAGGGAGGGAGTAAAGAAGGAAGGAAGGTCTGTGGGCTGACATGTGGATTGTACTGTGTCTGTATATGGATGCTGTCTCCAAATCAATGCACAGTCAGTCCCTGTGTGATCATTAACGGTAAACTGAAATGGAAGATGGGCTGTGAAGCAGAATCGCTCTGACTCAGCTTACCACTAACAAAAGTACAACAATTTGTTATTGAAAAGAACTGTCCTTCTCTCTGCCTTTTGGTCACTTTGCTTGGACAAAAACATTTTCAGGAGTACAATCCAATGACAACATAGCAGCAAATATTGTTTTGTTGTTTAGTCGTCACGTCATGTCCGACTCTTCGTGACCCCATGGACCAGAGCACACCAAGCCCTTCTGTCTTCCACTGCCTCCCAGAGGTGGGTCAAATTCATGTTGGTCGCTTCAGTGACACTGTCCAACCATCTTGTCCTCTTTCGTCCCCTTCTCCTCTTGCCCTCACACTTTCCCAACATCAGGGGCTTTTCCAGGGATTTTTCTCTTCTGATGATAACAATACAAGACTACAATATATGTAGTCTTGTATTGTTATCAAGGTAACAATATTGTTACCGTGCAGCAAAATTATAAATACTATCTAGGGAGAAATATAGAAGACAGGCTTCCTGAATTCCACCTGATCTACAGTATCTTCCCTTTGAAAATCAAGAGGCAGGCAGCATTTTGACCAGTCTTGCTACAATGGTGTTTAAAACAGAATCCTTCCTGGACACACTTTACTTAAATCAGAGCAGTGAATATTAGAAGCCACACCTTTAAAATAATAATGATAATGTCAGTAGAGAATAAAAGTCTGATTTATCACACACCATACATGACACATAACTGATTACAGATAGTACTTTTCTGTGCTCAATTTCCAGCTCACCTCACTGTCTAGAATCCCAGCTGCAACCAGGTGCACTGAGCAGATATCTGAAATTCTGGGCAACACTCCATACAGCTGATGAAGTGGCTATTGTTCTTGAAAGTTCACACACTAATAGAAATGTTTACTCTTTAAGCTGTCACATGTCTGTGTTGGCTTTGCTGCAATAGACTAACACAGCTGTCTCTGTAGCTGTGAATTCCTGCAATGCATAAAATGCTATCCCTTGGGCCCCGATCAAATTAGCACTTATGATTTACCTCTGACTTCAGAGAAGCTTGCCATTGTAACATAGGCTTCTTCTATGTTTTGCACCCTGGTCTCACTACTGGCATGACTCTGGTGACAAGGATCTGCTTGCAATTCATATAGGGTGGTTGCATCCACAGAGGAAGTGGAACAGCTGCTGACATCATCCGTACCACTGCATTGACTGTCAGAACTACTGTCAGCTCTCTTGTCCTGCACGTTGGCACCAATGAATGTGTCATCACCACGCACATGTTTACATATGCCTAAATGCTTGGTCAGCAGCTCTGCTGGCCTCATTCCTTCATATAGCAGAGCCAGCTTCAGCCAGCCCTGATTGATATGAGGCAGGTTGTTTTTTTGTTCCAGCCCATTACTAAGCGTCTGTGGAACATGAGCATCCAAAAGAAGTGATGATGGCTGAAGATGATCCACTTCTGATTTGGCCTGAATGCTGTCCACCTTATGGATGTGGACATATCCTAGACTCTCTGGATTGAAGAAACTTGCATCCCAATTCTACAGGAATAAGAAGATATTCAGTGTGAAAATTAAGCTAATGAAGTACATTTCCCAGCCCTGGTGTAAACGGCTGATAATAAAATTTGATGGGATTTTAAGAGAAATACACTGGCCAAAAGCCTATAGCTTAAATTTATATTCATATAAGGGCAGCTATCTCATTGGCAAGTGGAGACTGCTGGCAATAAAATAATTTCTCTTTTTATTTCAGGGTTTGCATGATTTACCCACAACTTGCCTGCAAGCAGTCTTACAAATCAAGCAAACCCCAAGACTGAAGCAAGAGCTCTTTAAATATTGTCAGTTTGCTTCTGCCAATATCTGACAGGAGGAGATTACAGTTAATTAAAATGTTCCTTCTTCAATCATGGTGGTCTCCCAACTTGCACACAATAAAACTGATTGCTGTCAAGTCATGTCAGCACTGAAATTAATGGAGGAACTCTTTAATTGTCATAATCTCCTCCTGATGATGATGTCATTGTCCTTATGTGAATGTAATTTATGCTATAAAATTCTGTTGACCCTTTTAATCATCATCATATCCAAACACAGGTTAAAATTTGATACAATCCTTTTACTACCTCTGAAGCTCCCCTGTGTTAAAAACAGTGTGCAAAAAAAAGAGCACAAAGGGAGAAACCTTCCTATAGAAGTTTTTGAATGCTGTTCTGGTTTTTAGTTTATAGGGAGTTATTAACAAAGAGTCATTAAATTAATCCTATGCTGCAGCTATAGCATTATGTGATTCTGTCTCTTCGGCTACCTCAGTATTCTAGGTTTACCATCCAATTATATGGAATGAGTAGATCAGGTAAGTGATCAACTCCTAGTCACTGTAGAGATACTAAGCAAAAATGTTAATAACACAATTCTATTATTGAGTGCAGTCAGGCCTCCCATGCCTGTAGACTTCATTGGGAAAAAGAAAAATCCTTACTTTGCCATTCAAATTACAGTCCCCATCATTCTTACAGAGGTTTTTCTGTAACAGAAGTAGGGGGTGGGGAAAAGAGAAAAAACAAACCTTTCTTAGTTTTTTGCAAAATTTATCCAGAGTTTTCTCATGGTTAGGAATGGTGGGCCACAAAATGGGTTTGATCCTGGAAAAGAAGATAAGGTAATAAGAGTGATCGTGAATAATACAATACAATAATTTTCTGATTTAGCAAAACTGTAACACTGTCTCAATTTAGCAGTTGTGGGCTGTTCCAAATATTATTCCATTCCATTCCATATCCCATCTTTCTCCAAAGAACCATGTAGAACAATCAAAAAGATCATCAAACTTCAAACAATTTAGAAACAAAACAAACAAAAAGCAAACAGATACACTAGAAGGTATTTTTAAAAAGAAAACTGCAAAGTCTCCTATTAAAAATTCTTTCTGTAGCCTGATTAGTGGCTCAAGGCTTTACCAAAGGCAGGTATCTTTGTCTGGTGGCAGAAGAACAGAAGGAAGGGGGCCAACCCAGTCGCACATGGAAGTGGTGGGAGTAGTCTGGGAGCAGCCACTGAAAAGGCCCCGTCTCACATCTCCCCCAATGTGCATGGGTGGGAGTAAGAAAAGGGCCTCTTCTGAAGGAGTATCTGAAATGAGGTAGGAGGAGCAGCTTTACAGGGAGATGTGGTGTCAATCATGTAAAACGGTACTAATGAACAACAGAGAAAACCTACAAACAAAACTTCCCCACTCTCACCGGATGAGGTGAGGCCTGTTACAGTTTGATATTTTGTACGAATAAAGTATTAAATGGTTAAGGGTTTAAGAATTGTAAACCTGGAGATGTGAAATGTAAATATTTATCAAAGATCTTATTTTAAATTTAAATCATGTGTTAAGTTTAAATTCTTGGTTCCCCACCAACACTATTCTGGTGTGCTGTGCAAACTTATGATTATTTACAGGGATCCCATTATATTCCATGGAGGTTCCTCCTTATTATGGGTGTTTCGATAGCAGCCTCAGTGGGTGAACCGATTAATGTGCCGGAAACCCCCGAGCCAGCTGTTAATTATCCTAATTTCCAGACTGCCTGTGGAGAATGAAACCTTTGAAGCCAGACATGCATGGAAGAGGAGAATGGGGGGAGAAGGATGAGCAGCGAACAAAACCAGCAACAATTAGTTCCATTCCCTGTCTAGGCAAAATGGGAAGATGGTTCCTGTTTCTGGGTACTTCTGGGCTCGAGTTCCTCATTTTCTGCCTCAAGCACAGCTGAATCCAAATTTATCTACATATTTGTAGCACTCCCTTCATATTAACAGGCAGGGCTGCCTTACAGAATGAGGCAACCAACTCAAGTCAGGATGGCTTGTAGACTAGGACAAGGGAGTTCACTCCAAATTTTCAGGGGCACGCGCCCCCTCTTCTGGTCACAAGCCACCCTCACATCTCAGGTGTCCGATGCTATCTACCAAAGAGGACTGAAATAAAAACACCAACTATATCAACAAGAGGAAGCCTTGAACAAAGAAGAAATGGAAATTTTTCCGTCTTCTCTTCGGACACTGGCAGTGCCCCCTAGACACAGAAATGTACAGTATTCTGCTCTGGTACTATTTGCGAGTTGCAATTCCAGCCAGGATTTGCTTATAGTCAGTCCACAAGAACTATATGGTCTGACACTGTACATGGCCTTGCATAAGTATCTATTACACTGGTCTAAAAGACATTCTTGTGCAGTAAATAGATGGGCATCTTGTCTGGAACATTGAAGTCATCATTTTGAGTTTTAAAAAAATCATTTTTTAAAATTTGTCCAATTTTCTTGGAAACAAATTTTCTTAAAAAGTATTTTGGGGTGAAGGGAGAAAAAAGAAACCACTATACCCCCTTTTTTTGGCTAATCTTTACAACGTTAGCTAGCAGTCATTTTTCTGAAGCCATGCTTCCCAGACTATCTCCTGTCTTGGAGAGGGCTAAGGGTAAGATCCAGCTGACAGATCACCCAGCATATATGGAGCTGAGGTAAGCTTGACCTTTGCCTCAGCCAGCAAACATTCCATTTTTTCATACTTGTCAACAGGACAAGTATGAAAAAAGACCCAGGAAATCCACTGGGACCACAGTACCCATTTTTGGTTAAAGATTTTGAGTATTACCTGTTTTTCCAAAATACTAGGACCAGAACAATTAGAACGAACAGTAGAAGGAATACCACAATGGATGTTGTCGTCATAATCATGGTATAATCATCTAGGAAAACAAATTAAAACATTGAAACATTTGGATATGGCTTCTTCATTGATAGACAAACTGTCTGTGACATTAAATGTGTCTGTGGCTGAGAGTGGGAGATGAGGAAGCATCTTTCTATCATGGCTTCCTGGAACTAACCTCTGTCAACTTACCTCTTCTTCTATCCCTTCAGCTCCCGTCCATCAGCCAGCTCAATGCTATAAAACAAAGACATCTCAAATCTGAAGCACTAGCTTGCTAGCTCACCCCATAGGTTGAAAGTGTTCAGCTAGCACTCATCGCCCATTTAAGACAACAGGTTTTATGAAACCTTGATTTCCAAACCATTATTCTGGACACTGAGAAGAAACAGATTCCCTAAGGAACTTGGGAGGATCTGGGCCATTTTCCATCCCATCCAGAAGCTGTACCAGTCACTTCCAGTGACCTATCCTTTCTTCAATCAAGAAATAAGGTCACCTTGTTTGAGCAAAGAATCTTGGCCTCTTGAAGCTTCTGGCTGGACGATTTCCTCTTCCTTTTTGGCAAGAAAGTAGGTGTGGGAGCTCGTAAGCTGCAATAACAGCCTTAACATTGCCTGTTTTCTACCCTTTCCCTAGACCTAACTCAAATTCTAATGCAATATCTGACTGCCATACCATCCAGGATTGTTTTAAAAAAAATGTGTGGAGCTACATGTGGAAACCCTTCCTATTGAGGAAATGGCTGACATTTGGTCTAAAGACAAAAAGTTTGTGGGTGCCTTTATTGTATTTTTCAATTACTTGAAAGTCTCACAGATGGAAAGTGGGCACTGAGGGGATTTCTGTTCCCATTGGGGCCAAGAATAGATTTCATGAACTTCAGTTACAGAAATATAGATTTCAACTGAACATTAGAAGGACGTTCTTTATCGCAAGAGCAATTCAATGACTGGAACCATCATGGAATGGAGGGCTGAAGACGACTCTAAGCCACCATCTGTTGGAGTCCCTTCTCACTTTTACTTCTGGTGGCAAGTGAAAACATACCTCTAGAGAAGCTTTTGGGAGTCCAGGAGGCAATCACGATGAGGGAAGTTGTTTAAAATGTAGCGTTTGTAAATCATGTTTTTAATTTGTGTATTTCACCATTTTTAATTAATTTGTTTTAACTTATTGTTGATATTAAATGTTTTATGTGCTGCTTTGCATCTCCATTGGGGGGGGGAAGGCAAGACAGAAATCAAAGAAAGAAATTAATGAATAAAATAGACAGGGCCGGCCCTACCATTAGGCAGAGCAAAGAAGAAATTCTGAAAAAGGATCCTAGGAGCTTCAGGGAAGTTTCTGGGCACAGTGGGTTGTGCCAGGAAGCCTGCCCTGTGTCTCTTGAGCTAGCCTGCTGTCTGCAGATACAGTATGGCAGATGATAGTGTCTCTTCATCTGCATGTTGGACACGATTTACGTACACATAAGCAAAAAGAAGGCACTCATCGCCAAAAGAAAAAGAACGAAAGAGGATGCCAATTTGCATAAGTTTTTATTTATTTATTTATTTATTTATTTATTTATTTATTTATTTATTTATTTATTTATTTATACCCCGCCTATCTAGTCATTTCGACCACTCTAGGCGGCTTACAACAAATGATAACAAGTTCTAAAAAATTTATAACAATTAATTAATTAGATGATTCTATAAGATGGGAAAAATAAAAATAAGTCAAATAAAGAGAGAGAAAAAAGGAAAGAGGACAGGAATTAACTGGAAGGGAAGGCCTGCCTAAACATCCATGTTTTTAGTTGGTTCTTAAAAGTACCCAGCGAGGGTACAGCGCGAATCTCCGGAGGTAGGTTATTCCAGAGACGAGGAGCCACCGCTGAGAAGGCCCGGTTTCTAGTTCTTTCTTTCCGGGCCTCCCTTGGCGTCATGCTCTTCAGCCTCACCTCTTGGCTCGCACGGGTGACACGGCACAGATGCTAAAGTAGAAATAATTTTTAGAGTTTAAACAGAAATATGAGACTTTTCATCTCAGCGGTGAAGTCTGACCAGATGACGTGTGGGGATCTTGAGTCTACTGTCTAGCTACTCACTGTGGATCTGCAAATTCAAGGTCTCTGCTTTCCCTCTTGGAGCCTCTTTCAATTAGTCTTGGACTGGTCAGCCTTTCAAACAGAGAGCTCCCTCCACAAGAGGACTATTCTCTGTAAACTGTAGGACTTGCTCACTTTGCTTACCCATGTTGAATAAATGTTTAGCTGACAGACCGGTTGGTTGCCCAAGAGCTTTAAATACTACAGGCAACTTCAAGACTTCTGCTTCCCCTAGGGAAATGCATCCCGATCCAGAAATCCTCAGAAATCACTGAATAATGTCATATATGGATAGTTCTGGATATATTCTAATTCACCTCATTACCAATTGCCATCCCAAACAACCCTCAGCTGCAGGGTGGTGCCAGCTTTATACTGGGGTGTCAGGGAACTGGTACAGCAGCAGTTGGCCAGGGCACAGGTGGTACATTTTACAAGTTAAACTGCTGCACTACAGCCAAAATCACTTATGACCTGGGGTTCAATCCCAGATAGCCCACTCAAGGTTCACTCAGCCTTCCATCCTTCCAAGGTTGGTAAAATGAGTACCCAGCTTGCTGGGGGAGCAATGTGCAGCCTGCTTTAAGTGCTATAGGGCAGTATATAAACAGCACCCCCTCTTTTTTAATAGCATAACTTCTCTTGATTCTGATGCTGTTGAAGCAGCTTATACTGCACTCACTGTCATGTATGTTTCATGTAGGTCAAAAAGCAGAAGATGCATGCATGGAGAGATGCTTCTGTGCTGTTAGTGTTCCTTGCTCACCGAGTTAATATTTTCCTTGGTACTTAAGGATAATTTGGGCCTTGAGTCTGATCCAATTTCAGGACACTTAAGGGATTCTAGGATGAATTCTGGGATGAATTCAGCTCCAAGGGTGTGGGATCAGCATCATTCCCAGGTGGCAGGAGGACTGCACAATGGGTGACACCCATACAGATTCTGATTCCTGTTATTTCAGGGACTACCCAGAAACAGGCTAAGCTGACAGTTCATTCTTCAGTAAGGACTTCATATGACTTCCATTAGGCCTATGCCTACCAAGATTCTTCAACTATCCAGAGAGCTGTGTTCTTGGTTTATTGCACTAGTGGGAACTCATACGTAGTTCTTCACTAGATTTTGATTTATCTGTTATATCCAGAGAGCTGTGCTCTTGGTTTATTGCACTAGTGGTTCTTCACTAGATTTTGATTTATCTGTTATTTATTTTATAGGTGGCTTGCAGACAGAGATGGGAGTCTCCTTCGTCTGATCACAAGCCACCTACTGGGTATACTATTGAGTATATATGTCATTATAAGAGTACTTGCAATAAAATTAAATTTGCAATACAAATGAAATAAAATTCTGTACTTACTTATTTCAGCGGAGGTTTTCCAGTATTGAGATGTGCTCCATTCACCCCATGAGCCTTTGTAATAAGGTCCTTTGGGCTTTGACCGGACTTTCATTTCATATGTCATCCCAGGCTGAAATTCCTTTCCCATAAGATTTATTGGGATATATTCAGATTCTCTGGTCTAAAGAGTGGGAGGGAGGGATAAAAATGACTTTTTAGAAGTTGGAAAGTAAAAAAGCACTTATAGAAAGTCTCTGTCCATTGGTCCATCTCTATTTACGTATATAAAAATGAAACCAAACATTTGTTATGCCAAAGTTTTCTTTCTTTGGGAATCCAGTTGGCAGTGAGAAGGTCAGTTTATTTCAGAGATCCTTCATCAGCATTCGGAGTACAGAAGAGCCGTATGATCTCAGCCCCTATAAAATGTCACCATAAAGAACCACAGGATGCTAATGTGTGTTTATCTCTATGGAGAGCTTGGAAATGTTTCCTTTTGGGGCCTCACTGGTCAGATCATGCTTGATAGGGGATTATAATAATAACAGAATAATCTTAGAACTGTAAAGCTGGAAGGGATGCTATGGATCATGAAGTCCAACGTTTGTCAGAGAGGCATAGTGGGGAATTGAACTCCCAACATCTGGCTTTGCAGCCAGAGACCTTATCCACTGAGCTATCCAGAAAATTCTAGGATTTGTAATTTAAGAAGTATTTTTCCCAAGCTCCACAAGAACCACTTTTAACCAGTTTAGTCCCATCACAGGCTCATTGAAGAAGGGCTGTGGCTTTGTCATACAGCACATGCTTTGACTGAAGAAGAGCCCAATTTTAGTTCCAAGTAAGCTCCATGTAGGGCTGGGAAAAATCTTATCAATGCTAGTTAGATCCCTCAACTAGATCAGGAAAAGAACTACAAACCAGCCGGGTTCACTGGGCTGTTTAGTTTGTGGTTTGTTTCATGTCCATCTCTGCAAATAACACAGTTGTACTCACAATCCAGTTACTTGTGTTTTCCTGGCGGTAGGCTAATTCATACAACAATTTGTTATGAAGGAATGATCCTTCCACATATGGAGTTGAAAACTCAACACAATATTCATTCGCCTTTTCTTGATGTGTAATTCTTAAGCCAAATGGCGGTTCAGGTTTAACTGTAAATGACAACAGAAAGAGAAATCAATCAGAATTAAAAACCAACCATTTCCTGAATCAGGGAAGGTCTCATGGAATGGGATCTTAAGACTTTTTTTAAAATTCTTTTTTTTTTTTTTTAGGTACACCAGGACAATATACATTTTCTATGCTGAAAAGGGATAGGAAAAGACTTTTCACTGGTGTTGAGATGGTCAGCTGAAGTATCTGTTTCTCAAGAAACTGGCTGCAATCCTATTACGTGGCACTGCACCTGCAGCAGGGTGACATCAGCAGGAGTGGCAAGTCATCACTGATTAAAGGCTTTCTTTGGCAATTTTAGGTATATACGGCTTCTATCCCCTTCACAGATTGCTGTCTCATTGTGGGGAAGGGGTTTGAGTAATTTAGAGAAGCTATGGGCTATGCCGTGCAGGGACACCCAAGACGGACAGGTCATAGTGGAGAGTTCCAACTAAACGGAATCCACCTGGAGTAGGAATTGGCAATGCCACTCCAGTATCTTTGCCAAGAAAACTCCATGGACAGAAACAAAAGGCTAAAAGATATGATGCAGGAAGATGAGCCCCTCAGGTTGAAAGGCGTCCAACATGCTACTGAGAAAAAGCGGAGGGCAAGTACAATTAACTCCAGAGCTAATGAAGTGGTTGGGCCAAAGCCAAAAGGATGCTCAGCTGTGGACGTGCCTGGAACTGAAAGGAAAGTCTGATGCTGCAAAGAAAAATACTGCATAGGAACCTGGAATGTACGATCTATGAACCTTGGGAAGCTGGAGGTGGTCAAACAGGAGATGATAAGAATAAACATTGACATCCTAGGCGTCAGTGAACTAAAATGGATGGAAATGGGAGAATTCAATTCAAACAATTATCATATCTACTGTTGTGGGCAAAAATCCCATAGAAGAAATGGAGTAGCCCTCATAGTCAACAAAANAATTACAACACCTTCTAGAACTGACACCAAAGAAAGATGTTCTTCTCATTCTAGGGGACTGGAATGCTGAAGGAGGGAGTCAAGAGATAAAAGGAACAACAGGTAAGTTTGGCCTTGGAGTTCAAAATGGAGCAGGGCAAAGGCTAATAGAGTTTTGTCAAGAGAACAAGCTGGTCATCACAAACACTCTCTTCCAACTACACAAAGGGTGACTCTACACATGGACATCACCAGATGGGCAATACTGAAATCACATTAATTATGTTCTCTGCAGCCAAAGATGGAGAAGCTCTATACAGTCAGCAAAAACAAGACCTGGAGCTGATTGTGGCTCTGATCATCAGCTTCTTACAGCAAAACTCAAGCTTAAACTGAAGAAAGTAGGAAAAACCACTGGGCTAGTCAGGTATAATCTAAACCAAATCCCTTATGAATACACAGTGGAAGTGAAGAACAGATTTAAAGAACTCGATTTGGTGTACAGAGTGCCGGAAGAACTATGGATGGAGGCTCGTAACATTGTACAGGAGGCAGCAACAAAAACCATCCTAAAGAAAAGGAAATGCAAGAAAGCAAAGTGGCTGTCCAACAAGGCCTTACAAATAGCAGAGAAGAGAAGGGAAACAAAATGCTAGGGAGATAGGGAAAGTTACAGAAAATTGAATGCAGACTTCCAAAGAATAGCAAGGAGAGACAAGAGGGCCTTCTTAAATGAACAGTGCTAAGATATAAAGGAAAATAATAGAAAGGGAAAAGGAACATTTTGTGCAAAGCTGAACATGATAAAGGAGAAAAATGGTAGGGAACTCGCAGAAGCAGAAAACATCAAGAGGTGGCAAGAATACACAGAGGAATTATACCAGAAAGATATGGATGTCCCAGACAACCCAGATTGTGTGGTTGCTGACCTTGAGCCAGACATCCTGGAGAGCGAAGTCAAGTGGGCCTTAGAAAGAAAGCATGGCTAACAACAAGGAAAGTGGAGGTAATGGCATTCTAGTTGAACTATTTAAAATCTTAAAAGATGACACTGTTAAGTTGTTACACTCAATATGCCAGCAAGTTTGCAAAACTCAGCAGTGGCCAGAGGATTGGAAAAGATCAGTCTACATACCAATCCAAAAGAGGGCAGTGCCAAAAAATGCTCCAACTACCGTACAATTGCACTCATGTCATACGCTAGCAAGGTTATGCTCAAAATCCTCCAAGGTAGGCTTCAGCAGTATGTGGACCGAGAACTCCCAGAAGTTCAAGCAGTATGTGGACCAAGAACAAACCTATCAGTTCTTGAGGAAATCAACCCTGAGTGCTCACTGGAAGGACAGATCCTGAAGCTGAGGCTCCAATACTTTGACCATCTCATGAGAAGAGAGGAATCCTTGGAAAAGACCTTGATGTTAGGAAAGTGTGAAGGCAAGAGGAGGAGGGGACAGCAGAGGATGAGATGGTTGGACAGTGTCATTGAGGCAACCAATATGAATTTGACATAACTTCGGGAGGCAGTGGAAGACAGGAGGGCCTGGCGTGCTCTGGTCCATGGAGTGACAAAGAGTCGGACACGACTTAACAACTAAACAACAACTGTAAGCTGCCTTGGATCCTCTAGAGCAGTGGTTCTTAACCTTTGTTACTCAGATGCTTTTGAACTGCAACTCCCAGAAACCCCAGTCAGCACAGCAGGTGGTGAAGGCTTCTGGGAGTTGCAGTCCAAAACTCCTGAGTAACCCAAGGTTAAGAACCAGTGCTCTAGAGCAGTGGTCCCCAACCTTGGGCCTCCAGATGTTCTTGGACTTCAACTCCCAGAAATCCTGGCCAGCAGAGGTGGTGGTGAAGGTTTCTGGGAGCTGTAGTCTAAGAACATCTGGAGGCCCAAGGTTGAGGATCACTGCTCTAGAGGAAAGGTGGCATAGTTTAAATAAACAAGCAAGCAAGCAAATATGAACAAAAAGAAAGGTGGCATGGTTTAAATAAACAAGCAAGCAAGCAAATATGAACAAAAATAGGATTAGAAAGCAGGTGATATTTAAAGAAGCATCATAAAAATGAAACCAATGTTTTTTCATGTCCCTAGTCTTGAAAACAAATGCCTCAGATACTGGTGTCTGCATATACACTCCAAGTTGCTTTACAAACTATGTGAAACCTAGCAACTGTCAACTAGTCACGAGTCTCTGTGATTTTCACTGGCCTGAATTGCTATAAAACCTGCATGCAACTACGAATAACGGACACAAGAATCACCCCGCAGGAGCTTACCGATATCTTTTACCATTATTCGCTGGCAGTCTCTGCACTGCTGTTTCATCAGCATCATGATCAAGCAAACATCTACCGAAGATATGATATCCGTGGCACTCATAGAACAATTGCTAACCCTCCAGGTTTTCATTCTGCATTGACTCTTTCTGTGTGGGATAATAATGTTGAAATGCAATTTCAAAACTGAGCTTCTGTCTTGTGAAATTGACATACATACTTGAGAACCACAGGCAAATTTAAGTTCATCATTCTCTTAGCAGGTTTTCTCAGAAGTAAATACCACTGAGTTCAATGAAATAAACATATTTTGTGTTGCAGCATTTAACTTTTTTTTGTTCAACCATCTACAGGTAGGGGATTTTTTTTAATACCAGAAACCTAGGAAACCACCCTTGTATACTCATTGTCTTCAGCTTTCTAAGCCGCCTTGGGTCCTTTTAAAGGCCAAAGGTGGGATAAAAATATTTTAAATAATAAAAAAATTATAAGTTAAAGTTACTTCTTGATTGTTTTGTGTATGTATAGAGGAGACCATGTAGGGACGATGGACATAATGTTTGTTGTATAACATTATTAGTTATGATTTTCAGAGAGTTATAAAACATGATGCCAAGTCTATCTACAGCTTCTCATCCCATTTATGGAAAAATGACTTTGGTATTCAACATCTCAGATTACTTGTCTTGCATCTCCCCACACTGGCATTTTTGCTCCAAATATTTACTGTCTCATATACTCCCATGTTACATTTCCTCCACACTAGGCTTTTGACTGTCAAAATAAATATCTTCCTTCTCACTTCTGTCTCCAACTTGTGATTATATATTTCATTTGGCAATTCTTTTGGAGTTCTGCATGTTTTACTGCTGTCAAGTATTTGCGCTGTGCAGTATGTACATGCATGCCATTAAAGAAGGCCGATATATTCTTAGGAAACTGTATATTTGAAACTGAAAATGGAGCATAGGTAGCTGTGTGATCCTAAATCAGATGCTTGGTCCATCTAGTGCAGTATTGTTCACTCTGATGGGCCCAGGCGCTCCGTGGAGTCAAGGGGAATTCTTTCCTAACCCTTCCTGGTATTCCTTGGTGGCTTTGCATCCAAATAGGAAACAGACCCAGTCCTGTTGACCTTCCAAAATCAGAGAAGATTGAGGATGTTTATAGGATCATATGGTAATATGTTGGGTACTGTATGTTATTTATTTATATATGTCAACTCAAAGAGAATATCAAGATGCTTTTGTGCCATAGCTACCAGCATTCAATATACTCTTCTCTATTTTTACTGTTTTCTTCCCATCTAGGTTTTAAAACAATAATGTGGTGTTGTAATCCTACAAAACTCCCAACCTTTACCGTGTTGAGTGATAACCAGGAAGGACAAGGTTCCAAGAAGCATAAACCATGTAAGACAATGCAAAAGGAAGGAACCGTTCACATAATCAGCAAACTCAAGCTGCAATTTTTTTCCATGCAATGTCTAAATTAATCCACTTCACCAATGACCCCATTCCAAAGGAGCAATTTGTTGTAATTCCAAATATGCCAGCTTTTGAATTTGTGAATTTCGTTGTATGGGTATACTGTGTATATACTTACAATGACAATAAATAAATTATTATTATTGCCATAACAGCCGTCCCTGCCATTAGGTAGACTAAGGCAGTTCCCCATTGTTCCCAGCACTATTGGATACTGTCTTGCATGCCAAGACTTGATTCATTCTGGATACTGATGTATGGAGAGAAGGGAGGAAAAAGAAGGGGACTGCTGCCCTTCTGGAAAATGAACACTGGCATTATTAAATGATTTCATCAAACAATTCTTCAAGAAAAGCAACCACATTTTAATGCACTGGAGAGGTTGTTTATTGTCTTACACAGTAAAGGTGATGTTAGCATCCTTCGGGTAGACCTCTGCCTTTGTGGCATTGCAAATTAAGTAAATCTTTAAGGGGGCGATGATCTGAGTGAAACACTCAAAGCTGGTGTCTATTTCACCGTCATCACAGATACCTGAGGAGAAAGGACCATAAAAGGAATGGTTTAATTTAATTACGTATTTATTTTGTTTGTCTGTTTCATGGGCCATCTTTTCTCCCAATAAGGGGCCTCAAGGTGGCTTACAGTATTAAAAAGAATAGAATTAAAAACATAAGTTAAACACTAAAAAAAACTACAATTAAACTACATGCTAATTAAAATACAATTGAATAATTAAAAGCAAGTAACATTAAAAACTATCTTAACTTTAAAAAGCCATTCAGGGATTCAATGATCATTGCTAATTTGAAGCGTAGGCTGATATGGAATACAGTCCAACAATTTACCAGAAATGCTTTTTATTTTGAAAATGAAATTCCCTCTTGCTCATTGCATTGAAACACTGCCTTCTCTTTTTCTAAAATCAGACGGTTCGATTCTCTGTTTCCCTTTAAATAGGAAAAGCTGGCCTTCACTTCTCACCATGATTGGAGGGAAAGGTGGCCAGATAACCTCCTTCAAGGAGGCCTGCCTCTCTGTGAAGGACTGTCAGGGGAAAATCCTTTTGAAGGTGTCTTCCATTGGGAGGGCTGTGGAGCCTGAGTCTGATTTCTAGATGAAGAACCCTAAGGAAGAACATTGGGGTCCACAAAGAGCAGCAAAGTCATCGGCCCCATCTGCCACCTGGTCGCTCAGCTCTTCACTCAAGTGAGACAAATTATAATTCTATTTGAATTATACAATTAATTTTTAATTCCGTATCTGTACTGTATAAGTAAATTGGTACATACCATTTTATGCCAGTCAATATCTGCTTGTCCTGCTTCTTATCATGTGTGTGTGTAAGCAGCTACCCTATCTGACGTCCAGTGGAGTGGTGGTAAGAGAGAGCTTTCTTGGCCTACGCTTGAGTGTCCTCCCTCTCTCTCTTCTCTGTAATCCAGCAGTTTTATTTTTGGGCAACAATTTCAAGAATTCCCTTTTCCAAAGCACCTTCTCCAAGCTCCATTAGTCTTCCATAATCTTTTTTTTTTGGGGGGGGGGAGAAGCATATGTTCTGGTAACAGACCCTAAACAATTAAGTGTTGTCCTGTTTTCATTTGCTGCACTTTCTAAGGTTGCCATGGCTAAATTAGCTAAGTGACTTATAGCCAGAAGGCAAGCGCCCACAGGAGAAGGGAATGGTAAACCCCTTCAGAGTATTCTATGCCTACAAAAACCTGGAAAGGGTTGCCATTAATCAGCATCGCATTGACAGCATGTTGTTGTTCTTGTTATACTTTTCATTTCTCAGTATTCCTGGTACATGGGGGCAGACCATGTACAATAAAAAAATCAACAATTAAAAATCAAGTCCTTAAAAATTGTGGGTTAGATGACATGTTTGCAAAATCAATGATACTGTTGCTGTTGTCATCAAACTATACACACTTTTGTAAGGGCAGCCTCATCACATGCACTGAGGTTTGCTTCTGGTGGACAGGCACAGGATTGCATTGTCGGTCGGTCGGTTGGTTGGTTGGTTGGATGATGTGTTTTTTCTTCACTCTTTCAAATGACAGGCAGGATATAGCACATAAAATCGATGTACAGTTTGCTTACTAATAACAGGTTGAGGAGGTATGGATGCTGTCAGTAAAACCTCTAGAGGAGGGAACTCACTTTCGTAAGAAAACTTTCAAAAACTCAATCTCTTGATATGACTCAAGAATCTCTAGAATGACTGCACAGCACTTTTGTCAATACTGTGAATTCAAAGATTATCTTCACATGGCCAGGAAGTGCGAGAGATGTTACATGAAAGCACTGATACACTACATGAAGCTAGGTTATCTCAGGAGTGTTCACTCATATTGCTTAAAACGTTGACTAATGTGATTTTCTATTCAGGCTTTTCTCGGACTAATTTTGGGCTGGGGGTTGGGGGAGGGAGGTAATTGATTGCAAGCTATGACCCAGGACTTTTTCCAGGATTCAAACAGATGACTAATGGATGAGTTGCTGAAATGTAAACCATGTTCTGAAGGACAACTGTGGTACTCTGCTCCCACTGGGAGTGACACTCCACTACAGTGGGAAGGAATCACAGGGGTTGCAACCCAACTGCATCTAGAGGGCCATAATCGCATGTCCTTGCTCTAGGTTTATTTTTCATACCTTTTTACATTGCCCACATATTGCTCACAAGGAGAAGCACATCCCTGTTCTAGCAAAACGAGCTTATAAGAAAGACTCAAGTCATAAATAGGTACGACGAAAGCTAGATCTCTTTTAGGGCAGAATTAAAAGATAGTGAAATTGCTTAGAGTTTTTTCATTTATTCTTATGGCCTACAAATCAACTCTTTGGGTTTGCTTTAACTAAGAGACACATTTTATGTACTTTCTGCATTGTGCCTACTCCATCTTTTCTACACCTTCAGAACTAAAGGGTGTTTTTTTAAAAAAAAACTAGTAAATGAACATATACAATGGGTTGTATCTGGGTGAAATAGAGAATTTTGGCCTTTTACTATTTCCATATTATTTCCCCATCTTTTTGCTTTTCTGGCTGTCATATGCCTAAATTGAACAGGCTGTTTCTACAACAGTGTTGATTTCACTCCAAAGGAATCACCCGAATAGTGAAGTAAAAAGTATTAGGCGTTCTATTTTAAATGGAATAGAACGGGATCTGAATTGAATATTTTCTTGGTAGGAATGGTTGAGAATTTTGTGTTAATTCATTTTACAACAGTAGATGAAAGGTCACCATTGGTTTTTTCATATCTGTGATAGAAAGAACTTGAGACTTTTCGATACTGAAGCTTAGCAGGGAGATGAGGGGACTGGCCAATTTGTTCTTAAAGGCTCAGGACTTTATTGTTTAGTGCTTTCAAGTCTAGGCTTTAACCCCTGTGTATTCAGCTATTTTGATGGCAATTCCAGCTTTTTATTTTCTGAGAGGCTCTCCCCTTTGACAGTTACAGCAGGCTGATACAACCACCATCTCCATGATAGAAATAGCTGTACCTATTTAGTTCGGCTGGTGAAATCGGGGGAAGATTTTTGTTTGATTTGCTTCTGAAGATTTCCCCCCCCCAAAAAAAAATGCATTTTCCTGTGTATTCAGGATAGAAAGGATTCAAGTTTTGGAAACCTGTATGTGAGACTAACAGATTTTCCTTTCCTTGGTCTTTCAGGGACATCTTTACTTAAAACAGACAGTACACTTCACACTTTTGCTGCCACTCACCTTAATTATAGTAGCAATCATTTAAGAAGACAGGACACACATTGTCAGGAAATCTTGATATTTGAGGAGAAAATAATGAGATTTTTGGCTTCCAATAACTGGTAAGAAAGCTAGCCTTATTTTGCAGCTCATGGCACAGGACTTTCTTCAAATATTTGCTCATTGAATACATGAGTCTAACTTTGCATTTGTTTTCAGCATTTGACAAAATTCAGGAGCTGCTCTTATGGAGTTAAACAACTAACAGCATTATATAGTACAGGGGAAATAAAACTACCTTGTTTCAATTCTATTGTGGACTGGAGTGCTGAACCCAAACATTTAAAAACCGTTTGAGGGACAACAATTTCCAGAATATTCCAATTGGAGGTATTCTGGGCCGTTACCTTCAAAAACAGGTGACTTTTCCATTCTTCGGCTGAGTCCAATCTCTACCAATTTAGGTTGCCATACTCAGAAAAGACCCCCCCCCAATTATAAACTGTAACTACAAGACACAAACACACAATCAATGACAAAATACAGATTTCCAAAGGGGGGGAAAAAACAGAAAGTCTGGCAAGGACTGAGACAGGTTTACTAATTATTTAAAGACAACTGCCAAGTCTTGGAATGATACTCATTCTTCACAAGCATAGATCCTAAGATATGAGACACCAGACATGCCAGTCATTTTTAATAATGTGAACATAAAACTCTTGGCCCAGAGAGCAGGGTATAAATAACCATTAAACCTCTCTTTTTATTTAAAGCTTTATTCTATGATGTTTAGATGTTGATTTTGTTTTTACCTCTAGCATTGTCTTATTGTTTGATTATGTTGTGAAGCCACCCAGAGTGGTCTCGGGTAGATGAGTGGTATAAAAATAAAATAAATTAAATACTTCTCATTCCCAACCAAACCTCCTGTCCTCTTTTGTTCTGCTGATTTGGTTGCTTAACATGAAGAGCAATTCTCATTCAAACATATACCCCCTCTCGTTTTCTTTGTAAAAAGGACACCATCAGTGCAAAAACAATGTCATATCTCTCCCTCACTTTGCACAAAAATTTTGCAAATGTCAGGCATTTGTTTTTCAGAGTTATTGAGAAAAATATGAAATGACTCACCATAATCTACTGATGCACCTGATCCACTGTCTGCAGGGACAGCTGGAAGAAGAATAATAATCCAGAAGCAAGCACACAGTGTTGACCTCATCATCTTGAGTTTACATACTTTCTAGCCTTTTTGTAAGACAGAGACTAAAGCAGAGAAAGACATGCTTGGGCTGCTATTTTATATCCTCACTCTAGAGAGAACCCTTAGATAAGACAACCACATGCAAGGGGAAGCATGAAAAACACATTAGCAAGTGGGTGCATCATAAAACAGGAAGCTAAGAGGAATGTGTTGGGGGGGCGGAGGCAAGATCTAAAGAGATATAAATGTGTATGTATGTATATACATGCATATATATACATGGCCTACAGACTCTAAATACACCCATTTAGGACTGCCTCTCCTATTTCTATACAAGGATAGTAGATCTTCCAAAGTCACAAAAGTGACTTGGCAATTTAGTAAATCCAGATAAGCAGAGATAGAGAGGTTCTTGAGGAATAACCACACGTAATTTCAGAAGTTTGTCTTCTCGACCAAGAGCAGCTTTGGTGGAGAGAGAATTTTTATCTGGCCTGTGACTTGACCGGAAAGAGTTAAACTTTGAATAGTGTTAAAAATTTTATATAAGCTAAACTCACTCCAACAGCACTTCTTATTCCCTGTGGGAGTGTGGCCATAATTGCAATTCTGCAGTCATCGTTGCATCTGCTTTGGTCTGTCCTGTAATTTTCACAATCTTTAACATTAATAATCTCACCACTGACACATTAATAGGAAGTTAAGATAGTGTCAACAGGCTTGCAGTCAAAAGACAGACAGTATAATTCCAGGCCATTCTCCTACCTAGAGGAACCGCCTTGGATCCTTTTTAAGGAGAAAGTCGGATCTCACAAGAGATCTGAATTTCCTTGAAGTCTTCCCCATCATAGGCACAGTTTGGCTGTGGTCAGAGGAGTGGGCCAGTTCAGTGGTCCACTTTTGGTGTGACAACCAAGTGGTTGTTCACATCATTAACTCACTGTCCTCCCGATCCAAGCGGGTTATGCGGCTAGTCGGGGCGTTCACATTATGCACACTGCAATTCAACATTGTGGTGCAGGCAAGACACATCCTATGAAGCCCTGTCACGTCAACAGCTGGAGAGGTTCAGGCAGTTAGCTCCAAGAGCTAGGGAGTGTCCCAAGAGTCTTCCTCCGGAGGTCTGGTTAAGTGGTGGGATGAAGCAGAGCGGGCAGTAGGGCTGGCATTGGGGCCATGGACACGTAAAGGGTATTCAGGTGTGAGTACAGGGTTTCAAGAGTTTAGAGGTAATGCTGGTCTGCAAACTAGTTGGCCTGCCCCAGAGGAGCATCTGCAACAATTTGCAATACATCTACACAGGAAGGGTTTAGCGACTACAGTACTTCTATACAGGGTAGGGTGTCAGCCTTGGCCTACTATGTGAAAGTGTGAGGCTACACAGATTACACAGGTGATTACCGCATTAGAAAAATGTCAGAAGGATGGAGCAAAGAGAGAGTCAGGCTTCCCAATGTCATATTTCCTTTTACCCCCACTATTTTAGAACAGATTGTTAGAACTTGGATCAAGTTGTGTAAGGACAATTATGAAACAACACTATTCCAGGCAGCATCATTGGTGGCATCTTTTTGGTGCTCTGCGGGTCACCGAGGCAGTTGCCGCAGGGAGAGAGGACAGGACGCAAGCTGGATTGCAAAAAGGTGATGTTCAAGTGGTTAGAAGCAAGGTTTGTATGCATATAAGATGCTCCAAGGCAGATCAGAAGGGGAAAGGAGTTAATGTCACATTGCGACAGCATTCTATTAAAGAAATATGCCCCCTTCAAGCAGTGGAGAGCAGGGCATTTCTTCTGCCACAACGATGGCTGCCCCCTCACTAAATACCAGTTCTGGAAAATAACAGATAGGGCTTTACAGAGTACAGTGGTGGCCTGCATAGCGATGATAATCCGTGCAGCAAAAATCGTTGCTATGTGGATTCGTTGCTATGCGAAATTAAAAAGCCCATAGGAATGCATTGAAACCCCTTCAATGCGTTCCTATGGGCTTAAAACTTACCTTTTAAGCGAAAATCTTCCATACGGTGGCCATTTTAGCTGCCTGGTAAGCGAGGAATCCATCCCTGTTTTACCCGGCAGCCATTTTGGAACCGCCGATCAGCTGGGGAAAAATCGCTAT